ATATATTGATCTAAATGAAAAATATTTTCTCCCTGTCTTGGTTCCTTCCTTCATATCACACTAAGATTATTTATGTATGATTTTGGTGGAATAACACCAGCCACTTCTTACCTCATAATTAAGGAAGATGTACAAGATTAGGGAATTCTAAAGAGAAAAGAACCATATTGTGAAAGCCTAAATTAGCTACAACACTGAATAAAATCTGTAAGCAGCCAAAACACATCATGTGTCTGTTTTAAGTAAAATAAAAATTTTTTAAATTACAAAATATTTTGTCCCAAATTAGAGAAACTCGTTAGGAAAAAATTCTCTTCATAGATATTTGTCACTCAGAGAGATAGAATTTTCCAGGAATTCATGACTAGAAGAAATAGAATCAAAGCTCCAAAATATTTTGAAAATTACCAAAAGTGAAAAGAATTTAATATTGTTATGCTTTCAATCATATATATTGCTTATGGTTAAAAATCACATTTTAATGGTGCCATGCTGGAAGCAGAACTCAGTGGTAGAGTTCATGCTTAACATACAGAAGGCCCACGGTTCAATCCCCAGCACCAAAAAGAAAATTATGTCATTTAATCCAATAAAAATAGAAAGAATGAATCCTTTAATCAGAGAAAAATAATACTTTATTTCATTCTAAGTACCTTATGAAGATGTTTGAATCTGGCTTTTTGACAAGATTCTTTTCTTTCCTCTTAGTTAGCTGAGTTTCTATGAGGATGAAGAAAAGGACAAAAAATTCAATTCAAGAGTTATTTTTTGGTTACCTTAGTTTCTAATAGTGTCAGAGCTGGAGAGTATTCCGTTGTGGGAAGTATAAAGGGCAGCTCTCTTTTAGGCCAATATAGTAGCTAACCCTGAGACTAAAGTTGGTTGGAAGGGCTGTGTGCTAAGGAGCCATTTAAACTTCTAAGACAAAAGAACAAATACTCTTAGTAACTTAACTTATGGATGGGCTGATTCATACATTGTTGAGAAAGTGAAGAGAATTTAGTAAAGCCAGAAAACTATTCTGGACTAATTTCAAGATGGACAAAATCACTTCTTACTTTTGGTTGGACATAATTTTTATTTCTAGTCACTCTGAAAGCATCTGTCAATTTACTTAAAGACAAATTCCAAAATTTTATTTATCTGAATACTTCATTAAGTGTATGTAGGACAGAGTGACTACCACATATATAACAGTTAACTATTATTGCCACTCTCTGGAACTTCACAAACTGAAGATCTGGCACAAGATAAAAGAGGTGGCTTTGTATTTTAACAATTTTTTAGTAATTTTTCTTCTAAGATAGTTGATAAATCCATTACTACAAATTATATAGAAATTCATCTCATTATATTTCAATTTTTTGTACCAGGGATCAAACTTGGAACTTTGAACTTGCAAAATATTTCAATTTTTAAAAAGAAATTTTAGAAGTTTTCAACCCCTTTACCCCATAATACACTACTTGAACTTAGTAGACTTTTAAAAACCTGTTATTAGTCTTACTCTTTTCATTGTAGTTGAATTTATAACATATAGCACAATGCCTCAAAAACAGTTCATGTTCAATTTATACTTACTGAATAAATCATTTAAAATATTTGGGAAATTGATGAATTGTCTAAGGTTTTAGAGTCTTATTTATATGATGTTTACCTATACATTGAATTTCAGAAACTACTTGTATTCATAAAGGGATAATTTCTTTAATTATAATTTATGTGGTTCCTATTTGCTATTTAATCATCTCTTTGCTCATTAAAACTTCTGAAAACTCAGATAACTATAAAATAATGTATCTAAATTGGCTCCAAATTGAGCCTGTTCATGGCTTTGCTTCTAATGACAAAGACAAAACTAAATACAAGACTTTTTTGTTCACCACCTTAACTCCCTGTAATCTGTTTAAATTCCCTAGCCTCTAATTGGTACTCCTATGGAACTTAGTCTTTATGGTATCAAGATTGAAAGGAAATCTGCAAGATCCCAAGGGCTTTAAAAACTTTCAATAACCAGCCATTTATTTTTATGAATATTATGTTAATACATTTCTCAATCTCACCTTTAAACTACTTGACTCACTTTTAGGTTTTTTTCCTTTATTCTTGATGTTCTGAGGTTTGTTACTACCCAATTTAAGATTCGCTTAATATACTGTACTTTCTTTCCCCAAATTTCCATTTGGCAGAATTTCCTAGTAACTTGTACTTACTCAAAATTGCTATTTCTCTTTTTGAGTAAATTGAAGTTCTTTAAATGTTGTTTTGTTTTTTGTTTTTGTTTTGCAGTACTGAGGTTTGACACCAGGGTCTTACCACTGAGCTACACCTCAGTGCAATTGACTTACTGATTGATTTTTGAGACAGTCCTGCTAAGTTACTACATTCCTCAGGCTGGCCTCTTACTTTCAAACCTCCTGCCTGAACTTCCCAGAGTGCTGGGATCCACAGGCATGTGACACTATGCCTAGCTGCCATGGGATTCTAAATCTCTATTTTTTATGGTACAACAATTCTTTTATTTGTTGGGTCTGTTTTTCATGGTGTTAATCTTCCTCATATGCTTGGTAATGTTTATTGAGAACTTGTTTCCTGGTGATTTCTTTCACAATAGTATTTTTTGGACAGTCTTGAGGTATGGAGGATGGAAAATAAGGGTCCCAAACTAGTTTCAGCCATGGCTGCACCAAACACAGTCCTTAAGAAAACTTGGCTCAACTTTGCCCACAGGAACAGAAGTTCTGCAACAATACATAAAGATATGTTTTAGCTGATCCCAATCTCCTTTGGCAGGTATTGCTGTGTATTTGCTCTATGAGATGAAGTAAAAATCTCAGAGACTGTCAACTTCCCTGTCTTGGTTATCATGATATCTACTGAAGTGGCAGACATGGGAGTTAATGGAGGAATTATTTATAATCTTTGGAGTAGGCTGATTCTGAAGAAAATTTAATTGTAATTGATGTGGAAGGACAACATAGAAAAAGATTGTGGTCTTAGGTAAAAAATATGTATGATAATTCTAATAGAATGGTATAATCTAAGATTCTTCTGAAATAGTAGTTGCTGGGTTTTTTTAGGGAATGGTGTGGGACTCTGATCATTATGCAAAATTAATTCGTTCCTTCTAAGATAATCTCCTCATAAAACGGGCTACTTAGGGACTAACACCTAAGTCATTTACCCACTGCTGCATACCTTAACCCTTTTTTGTTGTCCATCAACATGGGCAATGGAACCTGTGTACTTTAATGTCTCTGGTTTGAGTTCTAAAAGTGTTTTGTGATCCAAAATACAGTTTGTGCAGTTGATCAGCAAGCTCCAAGGCATGTGATGATCCTGAAAGGCACAAACACCTACATAGATGACAAAGGAAATTTACTGCAGAGCAATTCTTTTTTTTTCCCAGTACTGGAGATTGAACTCAGGACCTTGTGCTTGCCAGGCAGGCATGGCATCACTGACCTATATCCGCAGCCCCCAAAGCAATTCTATATTGTGCACTAAGCTGGACAGGAAGAACAAGTTGGTAAAACTAGATAGCAAACTGGGTGTTTAACATAGGGACCCACAAGCTGTTAAGTATGGGATAGGTAAGGATGTTCCCTCAAAGCCTCATGCACTCATAGGTGAAGCTTTTCAGAAGTGGCTGGATCTAGAGTGTGTGACACTGGGATTGTGTGATGCTGGAACCAAGGGTGCATGGTTACTAAATTAGTCCACTGATGAGCTTGGCATAGTTCTTGGAGTGGATAATGGGAAGGTCCTCCCTACCTAAGGGTGGGTATCCTAGACAGAAAGAGGGCTGCTGGGTTCACTGCTTGTTGCTTTCTACTTCTTCACTATTTTGCTGCTTTGCTGACTTCTGCCCACCATGAACAATTCCTCCTCTGTGCTGTCTCTCTGCCATGCCACCCTGTCTTGGAGCCAGTTGATTATGGACTAAAACGTCTACAAACTATGATCCAAAATAAACTTTTTTCCTTAACTTTGAGTGTCAGGTAATTTGTCTCAGCAACAAAAAATGTAACTAGCAGAGCACATATAGACTCCTGAGTGACAAGCAGAGTAAGGCACAAATTCATGATGTTTTTAGACTAAATAGAAGCCACCTCTACTTTCATGGGCATCCTACAACTAGTATAGGGCTTCTCCTCCTCTTCCATCCTTTAACCATCCAAATCAACAGGTACTATCCTTCCTCCTAATCACTGAGTGGACTCAGACTTCAATTATCTGCCCTGTTCAATAGAGTTCACACATGGAGGAAGAACAAAAAATCTTCAGAGCACTGTTACTCATAAGAAGCCTTCTTCTAGAACATTTTTGGAATATCAGTCTCATTAGGACTTAGTTCCAAAGTTGTTGTTATGAGTGGTTGCTGCTTGGAATGTTAAGAAAAAGCACTTTCAAATTTCAGAAGACAGTTGTCTCTACTTAATGAGAAAAGTACTGGGGACCCCTGATACCTTACTGGAAACCTCTGCAATAGGCTCTAGTCTCCTGGCCAGTATACAACACAGGCCGGAGGAAAAAAAACCTAAAAGACAGAACTAAGAGAAACAGAAAGTGGGGTACCAGGATGGCCAATGCCAGTGCAACCAACAAAGGCACTGGCCAATCCAAGCCACTGATTTTTATTGGTAATCAGTTGGAGTAAAGGCAAATTATGTGCAAGGACAGTACTATGTTTGAGGATACACAGTTGTACATTTTCTATGGAAGTTAATGTTAAGGCTTGTAAAGAACAAGACAAAGCATTCTCAAATTAGGAACAGAAAAGACAAAATATACCATTGTAATTAGAACATTGTCCTTCTAGTTAGAAGGGTTTAGTTGCAGAAATGGAATTTGGCTGTAAGTTATTCTGACCTTGGCATGTAGGCTTTGGCCAGACTCCTTTCTCAAAACAAATCAATTGCGGTGGTAACTCTTTACACCCTGCACTACTTACCGCCTGTTTTGGGCATAATCAATATTGCAGTCTCTTGCAGAAAGAATCTGAAGAAAAACAACTTCTAGAATAATTTGTGGTTTATAAAAAACTAAAATTATGTTTACCAAATATGGTCATTTTTGAAGATTTTAAACTTAAATTTTTTTATTTGGTGAATTAAATTTCTGCATTTGAGCATCTATCTCATCATTTTCAATATAAAGGATAGATAACACTGTTGTTTTGTTGCCAAAATATGTTATTACAAAGAATGCGTTCTGATATATTTTACTGCAACTTAAAATTTTTAAAAGAATGTATTCTGAACATAGATGAAAATAATACAGGTAAGATTTCTAAAAACCCTGAAAAAACTGAAAAAATGGCCAGTCAAGTTTTTCAAAACACTGGATTTTAACCAAAGTTTTACAACAGTCCAGTGTGTATTCTGAAAGAAAAATGGCTGATTCTTGCTTAAACAGTGATCTTCATATGTTTCAAATCATCTTATTCTCATCTCCACATCATAGTAGCTTTAAAAACCAACGTCTTAAATTCATAATGAACACCAGCAGATTGGCAGCCATCAGAGGAAACAGAACAGGGTTAGGACTCCTCCAGGGCCTGTCACAGATATGTTGTTATCTGACCTGTTTGATGACTCTGTGTAGGGCTCCACTTGTAAGGCTGTCTTGACTTGACCTGAATCGGAGCTTATGGTGCAAAAAGCCTTTTATCTGGGGGCATTTGTTGAAACAAATTAGAGACTATTATATATTGATCTTCAAATCTGTGAGAGAGCCACATAACAGTTTAAAGAAATAATAGGCTGACCAGAAAAGTTAAATGTGGTGAATGACTTATCCACAGGTCCTTTGAATAGCTTTCTTATATGACAGAATTCAGAAGGCCATGTGCATGTATAGAGTTCTACATATGCTGAGCATAAAAGGGAGAGCAGTGCTAGGGCAAAAGCTCTCACTTTGAGCTGATCTGGAGGCTCTGTGCAAGTAGGAAGGTAAGGACGGATAACATGGAGTTATCAACTCTCTCCATGTGGGTGAGAACATATCTCAACGTGAATATAGATACTTATTAAAGACTCATAGTCCTATTAGTTCCATGAGTGTAACAAATCTTTGTGCAGTTATTCAGCTAACTAGGCAGAGACTTCAGTGGCCACATAGCAAAGAATATAGAAGCTCTGTAATTACTTCAGAAAAATTACCAAACAAACAGCAACTGCAAACAACAATAATAATCCCTAGGTAGAGGCACAATTTAATTGCAAAGTTGCTATATTATTTAAAATAACCAGTTCTCCATAAAAATTATGAAACATGACAGGAATATATGACCCAAACAAGGGAATAAGTCAATCGAAACCATCCCTGAAGGAATACATGCATAGTGTAGATGGGGATGTAAATTTGTAAAATCATTATGAATGTTCCTCAAAAGCCTAAAAATTCAACTACCATTTGATACAGCAATCCCTCTTTGCATATATACCCAAAAGTTTAAAAAAAATTATATGGAAATATCCATACCTCAATGTTCACTGAACTATTGTTAATAATATATAAGCCAGGTATGGTGGCACAAGCCTGTAATCCTGGCACTTGGGAGGCTGAGGCAGGAGGATCACCATGAGTTTGAGATCAGCCTGGGCAACAAAGTGAGTTCAAGGATAGCCTGAGCTACACAGCTAGACCCTATCTCGAAAAAAATTAAAACCAAAATATCCAAGTTATGTAATCAATCTAAGCATCTTCAATTTTATTAATGAATAAAGAACACAAAAACTGTAGAATATATGTAGAGAAAATGCTAGTCATCCTTTAAAATGAAGTTAATCCTATCATTTGCACTAACATGAATCAAACTGGAGGACATTATTCTAAGATGTAAAGTACAAATACCTTATCTCCTCAATTATACATGAAATGTAATAAAAGCAAACAACAGAATCACATAGTAAAGGGCTGCTGATTTAGCTCAGTGGTTCTGCCTCCTGCCTCGCAAGTGTAAGGAACCCAAGTTCAATACCCAGTACCAAAAAATCAAAAAAACAAACAAACAAAAAAGAATCATATTAAATGTGATCACCAGCAGCTGGGGAGTAAAGAAAGGAAACAGAGATGGTGAAAGTGTACAAAGTTTCAACTGGACAGGTACTATAAATGTAAGTATTTGAATTGATGAATATGTTAATTAGATTAAATTATTTCACATAGTTCACACATCATAGAATTGCTTGAACTCTATAAATCTGTACAATTATAATTTTTTTAATATTCAGTAAAATGAAGAAATGTTAAAAAAAACTCTATGAGGACATCTAGGCACTTGATTCCCTACAAAATACTTTAAGTATGCTTAAGGAACAAAAACACTAAAATGAATGGTGTATCA